AATATTTACCACGATAGTTTGCTAAGGCTTTACCTGCCAGTCCCTTGACGAGACAATTACGCATTCCTACAGCTCTTACTGCAGCACTTAAGAGGAGCGAGGCAATAGTTAAAGCCCTGCAACGTGTGTGGCCGCTTAAAAGGTTGCTAGCAGCTGTTGCTCTTGGCTGTTGCTGCTGGCGTTGCCTTTTGCAGTTGCAACTCTTGTCGTTGTTCGTGCATAAATCGTGTGAAATATCGCATTTCGCGCAGTTTCGCATCGTGTTAACGAGTGTGACATACACACACATACAAAAACACGCATTTATTTGTCTTAGCCAGGCATTGTTGCAGTTGTTGCAGTTGTTGCTACTGCCCAACTCCTTAGCAGGCAAGTGATTGTCACTTGATTGCTTTGCATGCAGTTGTTCCTGTTGTTGTTGTTCTGCTCACTGTGTGTATACTTGCATATATTGACAGCGCTGTGTGATAATGCTGTTGACATTGATATAGCTCTGGGACTAAGGCCCAACTATGGGCCATATTGTTACTGTAGTGGCTGCCGCTGCTGTTGCTGCTGCAACGCCCACCAAACAATTGACAGTCAACATGCCAAAAACCTACAAAAAAAATCGAGAAAAGAATCAAATAAAAAAATGGACTGTTGCTGAGGCAGCTTCAGCTTTTGGAACTGCGAACTGCGAACTGCGGCAATCTGATAAAGTTGCGGCTGTTGCACATGCGCATGTTGCACGCCTACAAAATCATGTTGCACGTCAATTGCAAAGCTCGCAAAATGTGTATGCGCTCCGCTGTGTGCGTTTTTCATAGCTGTTTTGTATTTTTACTTGCCTGCTTATTTAAATTCTGCAATGATTTTTTCAAAGTACTCTTCGGTGCTCGGATTGCTTTTCAAGGCCGCCCGTGCGATGTGTGTGGCCATAACTTAGTCGAGGGAGAGGCGGCGGCAACATGTTGCTGACAGGCGGCAGCCAGAAGGCGGGCAGTACGAACAGCAACACTAGCAACTGCAACAGCAACAACAAAAACAACTGCAACACCAACGCCAAAGCCACAACGACAATATCGAATTGCGACTTCTGCTGTTTTTGTTGTAGCTGCTGCTGCGGCTGCTGCTGCTGCTGCTGTTGGGCGGCAATTGATTCTTAAAAAACGCTGACATCTTACATGTTGCAGCAACATGTTGCCGCATGCTTAACTGCTTACGAGTAGAGATTTGCCTACGTAGTCCCCCAGTCGAGGCAGTGTTGACAAATTGTTACATGTGCTCTGCCGACTTGAAGACCATCGCATTACGCAGAGGAAACACAGCATTGCCCTGAAATCACAATATGGCGAACGGAAATTGAAAATTACTTAAAAATTCGCTGAGCAAAACGCCCACCAAATGGTTACGAGTAGGTAGCAGGGCGTTGTTAGTAGTACAATAATCCTTACCGGGCCAAACTAATAATCGCATAATACACGTTGCAAGCTAATGATTAACTTGCATCATTATCGCACAAGATCAGCGCAGCAGCAATTGCAGCAACAACAGCAGCAGCAAACAACCCATCGCGGACTCTAAGGGCTTTGTGCTGAGCCGAGCTCAAGGTTTGGGTTGGTTTTTTGCTCCGATCTTGAAATTAGCTGCTGCTGCTGCCGTATCTGCAGAAGCTGTTCCAATGGGCAGGACAACAGGGCATCCTGCACTTTTACTCGTTTCATTGAAGAAACGACGCGCGCTCTATGCCCGAGGCTATGCTTTGGCTGCAATCTGCTTTTATTTTATGCGCAGCGTGCTTAAAAATGCAGCCAACGTCTCAGAAGCCGGGCTCCAGACGACACAGACAGGAACCTGCCGCTTTGGCGAAGACCTGATGGCCCCAAAAAGGCAAACGGCCCGACAGCGACAACAACAACTACAGCAACCATAAGAAGAGCAACAACAACAACAACATCTCAAAGCAACAGCAACAAAGTAAACGGCAGCCGACGCTAAAAAATAAGTTTTGCCGAGGGAGAAAATTCACTGCATCCTCCCACTTTTTGCTGCTGCTACGTGGCCAAGGCAATTGGCTATTATGTTGCTGTTGTTTCTGATGTTGGTCTTGTATTAGCCGTTGTTGCTGTTATTGCTCTGGAGCCAATCATTATATGCGTTTTTCATACTTTTTTATGCGGGAGTTGCTGCCTGCTGGCTGTTGCCGCTCTTGCTTCTGCTGCTGTTGCTATTGCTGAGTCGCCGGTTGAGAAATGCTGCTACAATTTTTGATTTATGCGCGACCAAATGAGTTCGAGTTTGAGTTTGCGATGGAAAAAACATAGCAAAACAAAAACAGTAATAAAGAAAAATTAAAGTCCTGGCTGTACAAGTGGGTACATCAAAATGCGTGCACACCCACACTTCCGGCTGTAAATTGAATGTGGGCGTGGCATGTGCTGCACACAAATGGCAAGCGGGCATATGGGCAAAAGATCAAATGGAATGTGGCACCCATGTTGCTGGCGGGCAATAGCAGCAGCAAAATACACACATAATTATGCTGCCGCTGCTGCTGTTGTTGCTTTTGTACATTTGAGTTGATCGTTTGGTAGCCAAACATCAAAGTATCAAGCTTGAAGCAAACGAAAACCAAATGGCAAACCGTCAAGAAACCAGCGACGAGCGCTGAACGACAAATCGTCGAAAGTTACAGTTTAAGTTGCTGCTTAGCTTGACTCTCGGCAACAGTTGCTTGTAGTGATTGGCAGCAGCCAGCCAAACAGCCACCAGATAATCAGAATTCCAACATTTTCACCTGTTGCCGTTTGCTGCTGCCTGCAGTTTGACATGTGCCGCACATGCCGTTGCCATTTGTCTGCACTTTAATGACACACCACGTCCAGCCCCAGCCTCAGCTACAGCTCCAGCTTCAGCTGTAGCTACAGTCACTGACTCCAATCCTCGCCTCGACGGCAGCAATCAGCTAAGCATCTTGGCGCGTTGACAATCTATGCGCATAGTTTAGCATTTACTGTTGGAATTATTGAACCACATGCGAAGTTCGACTTGCAGTCGCTGACCCACTTGCTTCACCAGCTGATGCCAGCTCACGGCTGCCACGGCTGGGGCTCCAGCGGGCCGAGTTGCTTGGGCATGGCCCGCAGCTCGAACATCATCAATGGGCAGCGGGCACCACCCTTGGCCAGCCTCAAAGTGTCATTAGTATGTTAATTTCACTGAAAATTCATACGCAGCGTGGTACGCCTGCAATGCAATTGCCAATGCGCATATTTAAATGTCTGTTTAGTGCGACTGTTTCTTGTTGCGGCTACTGTACATATACCCTGGACGCCTTCATCCGGACTGGGTAGTTCAGCTATTTATATAGCACAATAATATTTATTGAAATCATTTTCCCATTTTTTTTTTGAAGCTCCCCGTTTTGGCTGTATTACGTTCAGCTCAGATTTTTATTTTGTGTACAAAATACAAAAATAGATATGATTTTCATAAGTAATATATCAAGCAAGAAGCTTTACTTAAAACTTTTTCATACTCCGTTTTATGTACTACATATCTTAGCACTTTTATTTAAATAACTCCAGTTTTATTTGGTTTAGATTATAATGGTATTTATATAACTGTAACTAACTGGTCTTGAACACATATCCACCACGTTCGAATTATTTTATTAGAAGTGTATAAATTTCCAATCCCTGACCTCCCACACACACACACACGCGCGCACACGCACACACATACAGCGAAGATACTTTCAAGACGATGTCAGGCGCATTGAGGGGGGAATACTCAATAACAAATAGCAAAAGCAACTGCAATCAAATGCGTAGTTGACCCCTGGTTTGGCCTCGGCGAAAACAAATAAACAACACAGCAAAAGACACTTGGTAAATGCAAAAAGGGGCACTAACAGAATTTGCATAGGAAAAACATCGTTTCCGCCAACACAAAGCGGCCAAGGGGCGGTTTAGTTAGTGAAACGAGAATGAGGGGATGGCGGGGGCAAGTGTATATATTAAATGTGTACTCGCACTCGCACTCACACTTGTTATTTTGCACAACTACTATCTAGCCTCGTAGTCCCAGCGGGAGGCCTTCCATGGGCCGCACACAATGGGGACTCAGATTTAACTAGAAACTGTACTTTCTTCCAATCGCCTTGAATGATGTGGTGCTGTGCTGTGCTGTGCTGTGCTGTGGGGCAGTACGGTGTAGTGGTTTGGTCAATTTATGGTCTGTGCCATCATCACTTGGTATTTGAGAAATGCGTGCAAAATGACAGAGCTGACCACACTAATTAGTTTGTCTTTTAGCTGTTCTAGAACTTGGCGAGCGGAACAAGGCGTGCCTGTAGCTCCAGTTGGATCATTGCCGACTCACCGCCTGGCCGGCTTGCCGCTTCGACTGCCAGCGGCTGCTGCATAATTTAGGTAGCAGAAGCAGCCACGAACAAATTCCAAAGTCCTGTCAGACCGAGGTCTTGGCCTGTTTTTATGACCAGTCCATTTTGCCAGGCTTTAAACGCCCACACAGCAGACGCTTCTTCTCTACCTCTTGCTGGTGTGCTTAATTTCCTGGAATGGATCCCTGCTTTAGGCCATGCTAATATTTTGCCATTGAATTGAAAATTCTCTTGAAAGCTCTGAATAGGGATTGCCCTATATAAAAATTCAAGCAAAAAAATTGCTCAAAGCTTTTTAAGCTGAGCTCATATATATATAGAAAGATGAACCTACAAATTATTTATAAATATATAAAAAAAATTGTTTACTCATGTCTAGTATTCTCCATATATATCCTTTATCTATGCCACTCTGCATTTAACAATTTTATTAAGAGTGCGAACTGTGCGCTCTTCTATAATAACCTCTTGACTTTATCTTCTATTCGCTGAACTATTCACATAATTTGCAGCAAAGTTGGCTCTGAAAATATATAGAAAAAACACATACAAGTCAATATAGTCTTTTTAAAGAGATATGTGTTTATAAAACCTAATTTATTTATATCACAAGATGTTACCAAAGATGAATCCCAGCCGTCAGCGTTTGAATTCGCAAATTAGCGAGAAAGCAGAGAGCAATTTTAGATATACTCCTGAGTTCTTCCATTTTCTTAAGGCAAACTTGGGGTAAGTATGGTTGAGTCACTCTATATATTGTGGTACTTGCAAATATTTCGATTGCTAACCAGTTCAGTATTGCGTCTTATACTTCAGATCGGTTGCCTACAACAATCCGCAATTTCATCCCAATGCTCAGAATCAATTGACGTAAGAATTAAATATTATCAATTTTATCATCTAAATCAGCATCTATTACATAGTGACACGGAGGCGTTTGTAAATTTGATCAAATGTACTTTTGGCACTGGTGTTCTGGCTTTGCCCAGAGCCTACTATAATTCGGGCTGGGTACTGGGCCTGGTGGGCTCAATGCTAATTCCCACGTTTATACTATATGCTATGCATGTGTTGGTAGTGTTTAAATAGATGTGTGTTCCTATACTTTCTACATAATTTAGCCACAGCTCAATGACATCAGCATGACTGGGAAGCGCTATAAAATGACAATGCTCACCTACAGCGAGGCAATGCATTTGGCTATTTCGAACGGACCTTCTTGGCTCAGGCCTCTGAACAAATATTTCGCGTAAGTCGCTGTTCCCCAAAATCAATATATAATTAAAAAATCATATAATTAATAGGCGACAGGTGGATGCTTTTCTGTGCATTTATCACTTTGGCGTGGATGTCGTGTACGTCGTGTTTATTGGCAAGAATATCAAGGAATTGGGCGATGATTATCTGCCACCCATCGATGTGCGCATTTATATTGCTCTTATGACGCTGCCACTAATGCTAACCTTCCTTATACGCAACCTCAAATACCTGGTGCCATTGGCCGTCATCTCAAACCTTTTTATGATCGTTGGTAGGTTTCAGAGATCAGATTTAATTGACTGAGCACGTGCTAAGTATGTTCTACCTTTCAGGTATTGGAATTATCGTAACCTATTTATTAATCGATTTGCCCAATCTGGATGACCGCAAACCTCTACAAAATTTTTCCCAGTTTCCGTTGTTCTTCGGCACCATTATGTTTTCAGCTCCGTCGATAGGCGTGGTAAGTTCGACTATTATATTCTTGCAAAATTCAGCCTGATTTTTATTAGATAATCCAACTGCAACGAAACATGAGAAAGCCAGAAAACTATTTGGGCACGTATGGTATACTGAACCGGGCCATGTTTATTGTAATTGTGTTTTATACAGTCTTTGGTTTCTTGGGCTACTGGAAGTACGGAGACGATACTGCAACATACATTCTTAAGAATCTACCCAATGAAACGTAAACGAATACTCGCAATGCCTGACTTGCCAATATCCCTACTTAGTAAATCTTCAACAGCCTCTCCAAATGTGGAACCACCTTATTTATTATGGCCATATTTTGTAGCTATGCTCTACAAGGCTACGTAACTATCGAGATTATCTGGCGCGGCTACATGGCACCCAAGCTCATGGAAAGTGCCGCACTGTTGATAGAATATCTGGTGCGTATGGCCATGGTTGTGGGCTCCGTTCTGTGCGCCATTGCCTTTCCAGATTTTGGCCTACTACACTCGCTTGTGGGCTCGTTCTGCCTGTCCCAATTGGTCCTTATTTATCCAGGCATTATCAATATATGCGTCTGCTATAGTGAAGGATATGGTCCCCTGAAAATTCGACTTTGGCGTTCTTTGTTATTCATTGCTGTAGGTTTGTGCGGAGGCATTGCTGGCACCATGGTCTCAGTGACAGCCATCAAGGAAAAATATGACAATCGCATTTTATATTTTTTAAGTTCTTTTCATTTGAAACATTGAAATTTTTATTAATTTATGTTAGCAATATTTTGCAATATATTTCATAAATTTTTAAGTTATTTGGGAATATTAAGATATATATTATGTAAGGGAGGAAGGTTCACTGCCCTACCAAATAGGAGAGAAGTGATTATTCTATAAGAAAAATGTTCCCACTCAAGATATATAGAGATGTCTATGATTTATTTGTGATCTTAGTACGTTAGCAGACACTTATCAGTTTTTGATATTCGTTTTTAAGTTTTTTCCTTTCATTCGTCATTCAATAATTTTTGGTAATAAGGTAACATTGTAAGTTTTAGTAAAATTATACGTAAACATGTATTTATAATTGTACATTCTGCAATAAGTTTTATTTGGCGTTGAGCGGCAGTTTGTTGCATTAGTTTTGATAAATTTCAAATGGCAGAAAGGTATGTGCTTATCTCATTGAATCAATCGTTGGATTAACTATAAACTGTTTCTATTGACATTTAACCCATTGACAGTAAATTTGATCCGTATGCGGCTAGGGAGGTGGACTCACCACTTACGTAAGTCTATTCCATATATGTATATATATATAGATCCAATGCAGCTTATCGAGCTGTTCCACAGCAATTCTGATGCATTGATTTCGCTGTTAAAGTGCGTTGTTGGCACTGGTTGTTTGGCCTTGCCGCTTGCCTTTTTCTACGCGGGACTTGCCGGTGGTATTATACTGACGATATTGGTCACAGGACTTTTAATCTATGGAATGCAGCTTTTGGTAAGCGGGGAATATTTGTAAAAACATTGGTGTTAAATAAGGCTCTTCTTCAGATTATGTGTATGGTAGAGTCAAGTCGACGAAATATGGTGGGTTATATGACCTTTCCACAGACCATGAAATATGCTCTTAGTGTAGGACCAAAAAGCTGCCAATGTACTTCAAAATTTGCTGGACATTTAGTGAATGGTATTTTGATGTTTTCTCACTATGGTGTTTGCGTAGTTTATATCGTGTTTGTAAGCGTAAATGTGAAGCAAGTAGTTGATTATTATTTATCGGAGTTGGATATCAGGCTTTCTTGTGCGATTGTAGGAATCTTGTCAATACCTCTTTTTTTACTGCGGCAGTTAAAGTATTTGGTACCCACAAATATGATTGCAAACGTTTTGATGTACACTGGATTTGCATGTATCTTGTACTATTATTTCAGAGGTTTACCGCCTATTGATACAATGGTAATTTTTAACCATCAGCTGCCTTTGTTCTTGGGCATTCTCTTGTTTGCCACTTCGTCAGTGGGCGTGGTAAGTACTTGTCAAATATATATCTATTGATTTGCCTCTAGAATGCCTACCGTATTTTCGTAGATGCTTGCTATTGAGCAGAAAATGTCGAAACCAGCCGCTTATCTAGGCTGGAATGGTGTTCTGACTCGCGCTGCTGTGTTTGTGGCGGCAACATATATCTTATTTGGATTCCTTGGATATTGGCGCTATGGCAGCGAACTAGAGGCTAGTGTTACATTAAATATGCCTACTGATGAAATGTGAGTACTCTTTTTAAAGGCAATATTTGTGGTCTAATATATGTATGTATGTCCGTCCATACACATTTATTGCAGTCTTGCCCAGGTTATCAAACTTTTCATTGCAATTTCCGTGTTCTTTACGTATCCTTTGAGTGGTTATGTTGTCATCGATATTGTGTGCAATCAATTCATAGCACAGAACCATAATCCGAAGAATCCACATATGATTGAATATATAGTACGCATTCTGTTCGTGCTTCTGTGTACAATTAATGCAATTGCTTTTCCTAATTTGGGTCCAATGCTTGCACTGGTTGGTGCATTTTCCATATCCCTTCTCAATATAATTTTTCCATGTTGTATTGAGCTTTGCCTCTTGTATGGCTCTTCGTATGGAAAGCTCAGGTGGAGACTAATTAAGGATATAATGATGATTTTTATAGGATTACTTATACTTGTATACGGAACTTATACAGCCATCAAGGACATGGTTGCGGAGTATGGGGGCAAAAAAAACGTAGTGGAATCCGATGTACCGGAAACCGTTGCAATTACAACACCTTCCGCTTCTAATGGTGATCAACGGATGCTTGGAAAGTATTACCTTTAATTATTACTTCTTAATCTTGTAAATTGGAGCATTGTAGAAAATATATATGTATGAATTTCAAGTGCATTATAAAGTATATAGAAACTAGAAATCCATTATTCAAATGTATATAAAGCACACACGGTGAGACCTGTACAGGCACGCGTCAGGCATGAAAATAAGTTTGCCTTGGCATTCACAGCCACTTCCAAACTTGCTCTAATATCTCTATATACTGGAAGTTCGTTTGGCATGCAAAATAAATCGAGAGCTGATAGGTCAACTACAAGTCTGCTCTTACTGTCGAATAGGCCCAATGGTTTCATAGCCAGCCATTATCGATAGCGTTGTCGGCATTGGCATCGGCGCTGATTCCGTCACTAGGTGGCACACTGGGTTGCCTGACGTACTGTGGCTTGTGGCATGTGGCATGCGACAGGCAACCTGCTTGCAACTGCAGCTACAGCTACTCAGCAGCAGCAGCAGTGGCAGCAGCACAGCCTGTTTGTCTGGCAGTCGTCTTCAGGCCCACTTAACGATGCTCCGGAATTTATGCCGATATGGTAATGCATCTGCGCTGGGACCGCTGTTGCTGCTGCTGGGGCGGCCCGCCGCTTGCCTCATTATGCCATTGATGGACTGCAGTTGAGCGTTTGAATTGCGTAATTTATTGTTTGGGTCGTCGCTTGATAAACTGGTGTTGGATTCCAACATAACCTAAATGGTCAAACGGGCGACAGGCGACATCTGTTTGTAGTTGTTGCTCTTGCTATTGTTATTGTTGTTGTTGTTGTTGTTGTTGTTGTTGTTGTTGTTGTTGTTGTTGGCGGTGGTGGTGTTGTTGTTTCTTCTGTTGTTGTTTCTTCTGTTGTTGACCGGCCAAACATTTTTTGCCAACGCCTGCATATCACTTTCCGTTCAATCCGCTGGGCTTTAAGCAACTCCAACATGGCTCGCACTGGGGGATTGAGCTGAGTGTATGTGTGTGTGTGTGTATAGCGTTTATGGTACTAATTAGCTACGCAATCCGCATGCAAACCGAAAGCAATGTCAGCGATTCAGCCAGTTAGGCAGGCAGCAGCTGCCGCTGATCTTTAGCTAATGATTTCCGTTGAAATCTGCCACACGTGCAACTCCACCCATGTGGCAAGTTCAAAAGGTTAAACAGCGCAACTGGCAAAAGTTCTGCGTATGCGACGATTGCAGCGCAGTGCAACAAATCATTTCGAGGACCCCCAACCCCAACTCCAGCCCCGGCCGCAGACCCTGCCCCGGCTCGATCTGCAGTGCCAGAGCTAGCCAATTTGTGTTCCGTTGCTTTGCCGTTTGTATAAATCAATTGGCTGGGAGAGCCTGCACGGGCATCCCAGCTAGCAGTTCCTGTACCATGTTGGAGTCTCTGTTACCGTCACAGTCGCTCTTCGATTTGACAACCCGCTGTGCGGTGTCTATTGGCATGGCCATCCTATAAATTGCCTGGCTCTCTGATCTCCACTGATGCATTATGTGTTTGGACTATGATTTTTCACTTGTTTTAGTGCGTGCGATCCGCGGCTGATTGGTCCATAAATTATAAAGTTTATTGCGACCAATGTAACAGCGCTAGTATTGACCACGTCTAGAACTGAACGTCGACCGCCGACCGCCGACCGACGACCGTCGTCCACCCCCGACACTGATGGATTACAAACATCGATGCAGCCGTTATCTATCGCCTGACTTAATATAAATATTGATTTATCAAAAATTCGTTCAAAAACTTGTGAGTTATTGGTTACATATTTATTTGCCGGGCGACTTTACTTTCGATTTCTGTACAAATATTTGCACAATTTAACGGTCAGCGGCATTCGTTTGTTGACTATAGGATAAACACAAGTCGACTGTTAATTTGGCTGCCCCCAAGGCCTTGACCCGTGCAGTGCGCTGCGACAGTAACTACGGCTGCGGCTTCACAATGCCGGCGAATGTCAAAAATGTATACTGGCGACAAGTTTTCCAGGGAACCTCGGGCCAGTTGTAGGGGCTCAGACACAGAGATGTCGATGCCCAAAGCAATCGCTGTACCAAATTTGCAGCCCAGCAACATGGTTGTGAGGTATGTCAGCAACATGTTGTCTAGCAACAACTGACAATTGCTGACTGACTGACTGACTGCCTGAATGACTGAATGAGTGCCTGGACAGGCATTGCCTGTTAGCGGTACCTTTAATTGCCTTGCTGCCCAAAATACATAGACAAAATGTCAGCCTAAGTAGCAGCAGCAACAACAGCAACTGACAACTGTGTTGCAGCAACTGCTGCTACAGCAACAAGCTACAACTGCTGCACCAGCATTAATATTAATTAAATAAACGTTAATTCAGCGCATTAATGCGTAATAAATAATGCCACTTTGAGGCAAAAATTAATGCATAAACGCTACTTATCGCAGCCGACGCCACCGCCACGCACTTATCTGTGTCAACACAGCGCCAGAGGCAACAAGCAGCCCAGAGCTGCTGCTGCTGCTGCTGCTGCTGGCGCTGTTTCTGTTGCTGACAAACGCATTGTCAATAGGCCCGGCCAATTGCAATATAGATCCGTTTGGCAGCAATCGGGAGTCGGGAGTCGGGAGTTGGTAGGCCGTAGTCGATGGCGCGTTGCAATTACATGTCTGTGACAAGAATTTTAAATGAAAATGGCCCGTTGCCGCACTGTGCACAGTGGACAAATGATTCAAACTTTCGCATTACGTGTGGAAAATGTTTAAAACTGTGCAGCTTGTAGAGGCGCCATGCCAGCAGGCACCAATCGAAGCGCTTTTCGCAATTTTTATTTGTTATTTTTTTGTTTTTCTGTGCTTTGCATGCCCGCTAGAAGGTGCCTTCTATGGCGGCATATACGGAGACGCATGAAATTAGAAAGGCATTATTGCAAATCTCTCGCATTTGAGGTTTATTTATCAGCAATTTGTCAGAAAGTGTTTGTCCAGATGCAGCGGCTCAGATTAAAGCCGATGTCTTCGTCTACTTTCTAATACGATTCATTGACACAGAGCATTAAAAGAGTAACATTTTATAGCGTAATGCGGGCAGCACTGCACGCCGATTACAAATGGGTCAAAGGACTTTCTAAGCAGCTTATTATAGAGAATATAGTTAAGACTTAGACAGGACCATGCCAGTTTGAAAATACCAAAAACTATGAGAAAATCGTGTCCCAATTTTTGTATAAACTATCCCCATTAAAATGGTTAGAATATTAACTAAGTAGTTTACAAGTTTCTTTTAGTTGTATTGCTGGTGCACCGAAATTTATTATACATAATTTATGGCCTTTTTCTCTTTCTTTGTAACTTGTAAGTATAGCCCACATTCTTCATTAGCAAATACCCACGAAGCTGTCTTCTTCCTCTAAGCGTTGCATTTGGATTCTCGGATTATATGCCCACATCATTGGTATTTCTCATTTACATACCTAGTCTGTATCCTCCTCAGGATATATAGAAATAACCTTAAATATATTTAATGATACAAGTTAGTTATAATGATAGTTACAACTCGTTTACCTTCCTCTTCTTCATTTTAAAAGAAATAAAATAAATCGTATTTAATACAAATTCATTATTTCGTTTAATACGAAAGGTTTATTTACATAACTCTCTTGCAAAGCTCTGCCTACAACAATTGTTTGCTCAGATATCATTACATCCAACCATTGCAGTTTTGGGCACTTTATGTGAATATATTTTACCAGCCAGATATGGTAATCGACTTGAGCCACTTTGAAAAGCATATTGGATGCTCTGGAGTATTTTGGAATCTGCTTAAACTGCAATTTAATGCAGTAAATCGCTGTACCCACGCCTTAGCACAACTTGCTCATGTAATTTATAGTCAGGCACTTGGCCATGTTACTGCCAGCCCATGAGTGCATTAGAATGGCTGCGTAGTGTGGCTGTGCCAGGAGCAATATAATTCAGCAGCGCACCTTTAGTGCGGTTAACAAATAACATCAACTTATTAAATAAAGTTTCAATTCATGGCAACAGCAACAACAAAGCTGCAAGATGGCAACGCATCCAAGTGAACAGCGGCTACCGTACTGTGAATCTGGACATTAGACATCGGTGAGCAAAGGATGGAGGTCGCTGCAGGCGCAGCCGCAATAAATCATCACATCGAAGCCATGGGCGCAATTTAGGAGAGGAGAATGTGGGGTAACTCTGGCTGTCTGAGTGGCTGGGCTGGCAGTAACTGCGGCCAAGTTATGTGGCTTCATTGTGGACAGAATGAACGCTTTTAAGCAGACAATTGCAGCCTGCGGCGCAACTAAAGCAACAGCGGGAATAGGAGCAGTAACAACGCCAACACGGCAGCAGGTAGGCAAAAAAGAAAGAAAAAAAAACAGAAGACTGAGACTAAAGATTAGTGAGCCACCATCTAGCAGCTCCCACTGCCCCAATGCCATTGTTCACCAGATCGTAGTAGCGAGTAGTTGCTTCTTGCTGCTGAAGGAACAGCAACTGCTGTTGAGGTTGCTGGTGCTGTTGCTGTTGCTGTTGCTGTTGCTTTTGCTGTTGCTGCTACACATTTTCGTAGGCAGCACTGTGCACATAAATCATTGAGTCGACTCGAGCTGCAGCTTCGAATTGCCTGCTTGGTTGCAATATGAGTTAATTTTTGCGAGTTGAGTGCGGGGCCGAAAGCGTATTTGCGTATTTGTCAACTGCAAATTACAACTTTTTCCCACACGTTCGCCTGCCTGCCTGCCTACCTATCGCAACGTTGACATACGACACATGTGGGTGTATGTTGCGATTTATGGCACGCCCGGCATTATAAATTTTCTATTAACTCGCCAGACGTCAGCCGACGACCAGCACCTGGGCGAGAGTGTGAGATTTGCATTGAATGCCTGGCCAGAGCAGGGTCCCACTGTCTGCTTTTGATAGCGCATTATCTGTTTAAGGCTTTAATTTTGTTTACCAAAAATGTACGCAAAATAAGTGCGCGAGACACAACGCCTTCTACGGACCGAGGACGCGGCGGCTCTTGACTTCAACTAACTGCATTTGCATGCAATTGACTTGAA